TCCTTGATATTCAATACAAAATGATATCATTACTAAAATGTGGTTGAAGGAATAAAATCTTAATTTGGTTTATATTATGACCCAGAAATGAAGTCATATGAACTGGCTATATCTACAGCACAGGGACTAAGGGCAAGGAATTACCCCGAGATAGATTAGGATACCATAAAATATTTGTCTTTTCAAACCATTTTGAGTGTCCTTAATCCAAGCTCTAGTTTAGTCACCGGANGATACCGGCAAAGCGGTACCCGGCAAAGTGCAAAATTGATTATTATGTGCAAATAATCAACAGATTGCCTTCATATTATTTCATGAACATAACCAAAAAATAGTTATTCTATCATATCAAGGTCCTTTTCGCTTCAAACCATAGATTTTGGTCCTTTTTGTCATTATAACTCCTTTTCGTGGTTTACTTCTACCCGACTTTATTATCGGTTTACGGAAGTCACGGGAGATCAGTCATATGACTACGCACATTTTGGCAGTAACAAGCTAATAGCTTAATACCAGAATAGGTCTAAACAGAAACATTATTGCCGTATTAAGTCTATAGATTTACAGGGTATATGACTATGAGAGAGTTTTGTAATATTTTCACAAGTATTAAGCAGGGCCAGTAACACTGCCGATTGAGCTATATAGCTATGAAGACCTTATGATATCGTTAGCTATATTCACACAAAAATTATATAGCTTTATTGAGCTATAATTTCTCCGATTTCAATTTTCATTAAATCAAACCAAAGCCACATAAAACAATAAGGCTTATGGTAATGTTGACGACAAAAAGTATACATTTAGATGTTTATTTTCATTTTTCCTTAATGTAAAATTTCCGATTTTTTTACATCATTATTTTGTAAAAAGAATACTTATATTGAATGTCTTTTGTTATCAACCTAATGATGAAATCTTCTTTTTCAAGCGACTTTGTTTTGTTTTCCTTCAAAAAGAAAATCACATGAAAATAGCTCAAAAGACCTATTTCAGATACATGCAGCTATAGGTCAATATAGTCTTGTCTTTACAGCTATATAGGCAGAGTGTACTGGACCTGTTAAGAACAAACATACAATGTATGTATACGTACCTGTAACCAATTTTTTGGAACAAATACTAAATTTGAAATGTTCAGCGGAACCAGTAGAAGATCGAATGACATGAAATTATACAGTATGTTCGTATATAAAATGAAACTAGTGTCATTCTGAATATTTTCCTTTGGTAAATATTTAAGGATTGACCTTCATTTTGACTGCGTATATGATAGTATGAACGCAGTTGGCAACAAACATATTCTATGGAGCGCTAACGCGCTCCATAAAGAATATGTTTGTTGCCAACTGCGTTCATACTACCGTATATGCAGTCAAACTGAAGATCAATTCTTATATTTACATATTTTCGTACTATGATGGTACACTCAGAATAAAGCTAACTCCAATACATTTGCTTTTATAATGGTTCAAAGCCTCTGTAACGTGCGTAAACCCAAACAAATGAACAGCCTACAGCTTGCGAGCAGCTATGGATCTCCAACATTACCATTATAAGGTCACAATGTAAATTACGTCATCAATAGGAAACAATGGTCTCCAAGGAATCTCACTGCGTATACGGTAATGTATACGCAGTCACAGTTTACACAGCTTCAATGGGAGCGAATGTAAATATAGATTGTATACAGTACAATTACAAAGTATACTATTCATTATTAATGCTTGTCTGGTATCATTCCAATTGGTGCCGGGTCATTTCATCCCCAGTTGTTTTAGCACTAAGTTGTGTGGCAGGGTTCAATTGTACCTAGGATTAAGGTCGCCTTCTAGCCTCGAGCTAGGTCAGTGGTAGAGCGTCCGACTAGGAACCTGGAGATTGAGGGTTCGTTCCCCGGTGGAAGCACACTATTCTCTTTCCGGTTACAAATGGTGTCCGTGGCTCTCCCTGTGGTGACAGGGAGCTAGATCCTGGGTTGTGGTGTTCGAGGGTGAACACATTTAAAAAGAGGGGAGTAGTGTGGCAGGGTTCAATTGTTCATAAGATTAAATAAGGTCGCCTTCGAGCTAGAGGGAATTTCCCTTTAGGTCAGTACTAGAGCGTCCAACTAGGAACCTGGAGATCGAGAGTTTAGTCTTTTTTGTCATTAGACTAGTTTAATCTGTACATGGTCGACTAGATCTTCACATACAATGTAGCATACATCTGCATGAAGTTCTTCAGACAACACAATTGTTTGTAGTTTTTTAAATCATTAAAAACATCGACTGTTATTTATAGCTAAAAAGATATATCTATATTAAGGTGAAACTACCTTGGACAGACTGGATTAGCGGCAAAACGACCAGGATCTATTCCAGTAATAGTATTGTTGTGTTGTACATATGTTTCTATGTTTCTGAAGGATATACAATATAAAACTTATGTTTCAGTGGCTCGTGAGGGTACGGGGGTCGGTACCAGGAACTTCGCAAGGCTATCCTTGCTGAGGTACCTGAGGCCGATGTCAGTGGGCAGGTCGGACGCTCCTGTAAGTATTAATTCTCATCCAATTTATAATATTATTATGTGTTTATAATGCAAATCCATATCTCTGATCATGATTGGATGAGAAATGCAGGGTTCTCTTTTATTACTTTTTGGAATGCGGCAAATGACTTTGGTGTGTAACAGTGTAGCACTCCTGAGAGGTTGACAACCCTGATACATACATGTACATAGTCAAATTGGGAATTTTGGTAATTGTACCAAGATTTTTTGTTTCTAAAGTTTTTGAGAGTATCATTTAAAAGAATAAAACATCCTTATTTGCAAATTAAACATTGCATTGTGGTCTGAATATGCTGAAAATTAAAAGAAAAGTTGGAACTTTTGGAAAGAATTTGGGAAAATGTTGCTATTTTTAGTAAGCCATATGTCATTAAACTTAAATTTGGCCTTGAGATGGTCCTAAAATGCCCCGAGATTACAAATCTCTTGCAGACCCCAAGATAAGAACGGAATGAAGTTTTTAAGATACTGACTGTAATGGACTTTGTAATCCTTTGATATAGAGTTATATTCCAAAGTGACATGAAAATAATTATTGCATTTGTCTAAATGTAAAATTAAAACTTGAAAAATAAGAAAGTCTCAAAGAATTGTGACATCTGTTTTCAACTAATCAAAACCCTTCAAGTCTACATCAACATTTTATGCTAGATATCACTCCCACTACTGTAGATTACAAGAGTATGGTATTTAGTGGTAAAAATTGAAAAGCATACAAATTATATATATATAATTATGATATATGCTGTTGACCTGGTGCATGTCTTCTTTCTTCCAGCAACCTATGAGGTTTCAATAAACGGCCAACTTGTCTTCTCCAAGTTGAAGACACAAGGGTTCCCAGATGAAAAACATGTAAGTACAGGTTTTTGTTCTAGATCTGATGGGATACACTTGGCAAATTATAATGAACCCTTTCACCACTGTAGACCATAATGGACTCATCCCAATAAATGCATGGTAGAGTCCATTAAAGTTACCTAGGGTTGAAAGCGTTAATGAGTCATACCAGAGCTTGTGTAAACTCAGTGTCACAAGTTATTTTGAATTATTTTGTCTCCTCTTCGACAGAAGGTAAACATTTAAGCANTATGTCTTTTCCAAATTTCAAATTTCCCGCTTATTACCGTCAGGTCAGGTCAGTATCTAGAACGGCACAAAGATAACAGCTGACGTCATGCGCCATTTCCTATACAAAATTGAAAAGACTACACAATTTTCGTTAATAATTCATTTGATTTTGCTTTATATATATATATCATATTCTCGATTCATAAATAGTAACAAATGACATTTTGTAAGTAACTAATCAAGTGTCGTAAAACATTTTCCGATTTTATTGCGACCTATATCCGGCACACGCACTCAACGGTAGCCCGCAGCAATCAGGTCCGAGTTATATTTGCAGTCCGGCATGTTGTTGATGATGATCGCGCACCCGGAGAAGGTTGAATTGGTGAAAAATCCAGGCGTAAAATTGCTTGTTGATCTCACAGACACTTGAGATAGGCAGCTGGTGTTAGGGATCAAAGCAGAAGATACCGATAAGTTTGGAAGTGACATTGTTAAGTCGCTCGGAGGGGCAAAGACCAACTTCAGTTATAGTCTCATAAGATGAAGCTGCTATTGGCAGTGCTTTAGTAGTAATATAGAAGGGCTTTGCCACACCAAATGTAAAGATAGTGTATTAGTTTTTATTCTGGGTCTCCCTCTCATGTTATCTTGTCTGGCTGTTACTTTTTAGCCATAACAGATATTTTGATGAAACTTAAATTGTACCAGGAGTAGTGCAGTGCACTGGAATTAGGTCAATTTGAAGGTTGAAGGTCAAATTAAGTGCAAAGTTACCTGCAAAATCTGGTCTGGACCATAACTATGAAATGGAGCAAGATACTGTGATGAAATTTCAAGTGTATCTGCATCTCACCCCAAGTAGTGTGCAGTACACGGTAAACAGGTCATTGTGACCTTCACCCCAGGTTCAAAGGTCAAATAAGTGCCAATTTTCTAGTGAACAAGTTAAAGTAGTTTACAATTTTGCTTGTGGTGCATTGCAATTCAGGTAACGTTTTGTTTGTTTGTTTGTAACAGGTGATCGCCCAGGTCCAGGCTGCTCATAAAGGAGAGAGCATGACGGAGATCACAGATTCTCAGTCTCCAGGCTGTACCATTCTGTAGAGGAGGGGTGACAGACCCGCTATATTAACCTTATCCAACATTGGCAGGCCTTGAACATCATCCATGTCACTTCTACAAGTTGTTCTGACTCCCCTCTGTATCTACAATAGACTCTCCTTCATGTCCATATGCATTCCTGGCCTACCAAGGAGGACACCTTGTTATGTCAAAGGTCAAAATTTAACACAACAAGAAATTTCTACATTTGATTAAAGAGGGAAAACAAAGTAAAATAAAAACATCTTAGATGCAAAAATACACAAATAGCAACCAGACCTGACCATGAATAATGACAATCACAAGTTAAACTGTATGTTAAAAAGGATTGGGACAAATTTAATGTTAAATGCTGTGATAATTCTTACCATAAATTTATATTGTAAGTTTGTAATATTATACAGAATTCAGCTCAACAGAAATGATATCCTGGTGTATTTCTTTATTAAAAAGTTTGTAGAGACATGTTTTTCATTTTAAATTGACAAAAAGGATTCCGGAACTGCTTTTATGCAAATATTTCTCCTGAAATATGGAAAGGATATTGTGTTAATTTATTCACCCCTGAAATTTCACAATGAACTATTCCAACCTTTGAATTGGAAGAGTTCATAAGTGTATTTAGGGGTGAATGAGTTAATTAGTAGGATACGTAATAAACAAAAATAATTATATCTTTTCATTTAGAAGTTACTACTTAAGGAAATATATGTAAATACCCTCATATGTTTGATAATTAATGTTAAGTGTATAAAAACAATTAGTGTGTGTAAATGCATTCAGGCCAAAATAAATTCTGTGTGTTTAGGGTTACAAGGTGAAATTGGTTATCGGGTTGGATCAAATATAAATATTTTCAGAATTTTTCTGACATTGTTTTGTAAATTAAAATAACTGCATTTACTCGATGATTAAACTATTTTAAAGTAAATCATGCTTGGTTTCAACTTGAATGCATGCATACATGCATATCAATGTGATGAAACATTTTTTAAAAGCATATGAAAATGTCATGCCCACCAACAAATTTGAGATTTTTTTAAAAGTTGAAATTAAGAGCAAATGATTTTCAGTGGGTAAGGAACTCTAAACACAAGTATTTGCCTCATAAATAGAACAGATATCACGTAGAAGTGTCCAGGAGCAGGGTTTGCCATGTTTTTCAACTGTTGTGAATAATTTCTTTAATTTTCTCAGTGTTTGAGAGCTGGTGAATCGCTCATGAAATTAAAATGCCGAAGTCCTATGGAAAGGCATCTTAATGGATAGTTTAGATAAAAAACAGTTCTCAACACCAGATAAAGATTGAAGAAATAAATTACCTCAGTTTTGTATATAAATTGTGATATGTTTTATGTTTTTTATTTATTGTATTTTTTTGTTTTCATATATTTCAGAATGATCATATATATAATCTAAGCAATATTCATTAAGTTTTGAAAAGAAGTATAAAACACCAGAAAAACATGATATTACTGTACTTATCCTGTAATACGCTCATGTCTGGTCACAAGCCCACCCATATCTCTTGCAATTCAGTAGACAGACCAACATAGTTTTTCATTGTCCTGTGGTCAACCTACCCACCTGTTTTGAGTCAGAGATTACATGTTGCCCATCTGGACTTATTGCAGGATAAATATTGTATTGCACATTAGTGGAGACAAAATGTTAAGGTGTCAACCAGAAATATATTATCTAATACCCCTAGTGCAAAATAAAAAAATAAATAAAATGATATAATTTTTGAGTTCTCAAATTTGACTTTCTAATTTCAATTGTTAAATTTTAAACCCTTTCTTTAAAGTTGAGATCCTCTATTTTGTTTGGGATCATAAAGACAAACCCACTGACAGCTAATGAAATGTAATTTATCCATTGACTGAGTTCCTGGTCTAGGCAGGCCAAAATATAAAAAAAGTTTCATGTTATTAGAATAGAGATATTCTGGTCACAAGTGATTTTTCTTGATCTCAAAGTGTGTTCCTTAATAAAATATTTTTTATTACAAACATTTTGTATGTTACACAAGAAAAGATGTATTTTATTTCATTTATCATTAACTCATTCACCCCTGAAGACACATTTGAACTCTTCCAATTCAAAGGTTGGAATAGTCTATTATGATATTTTAGGGGTGAATGAGTTAATGAATTGGTGTTCGTTTTGAATATCACACATATGGATACCATAATCTTTGTTTGTTGCCACTTGCTACCATGTAAAAATGGTTGGGTTTTGGTTTGATCATAATTCCATAAACTTTTATTGTCAATATTGATAAAATACTCGCTGTACAAAGCCCATTGGTACAATACCTGATAATGTTACAGCCATCAAGGAATAGCTGAATTTTAATTGGCGAGGTGGTTTGAGATTATCATTTTTAGATAAAAAAATGCATGGTGAAAAAAGGTATTAAAATCCTACTGTGAGGCTATTTATTATTCATGTTAATTATAATTGAAGAGGAGATAACTCGGACAAGAGCCTGAATCAAATGATCAAAAATGAATGTATGATATTGTCACAAATGATCGGTAGAAATTAGGTTATTCCATCACTGATGCTGAGTTTTAGGAAGCTAATTAGCTTTGATCACAGATGGACATAATTCTAAGTACCTTTTGTTTGTTCTTCTGCTTGAAATCCTGGTTAAAGGAGGAAATGAGGACTGCTTATATCATATCTAGTCATCAATAACATTTTGAATAAAAACATCGCACCAGAAACATGGTTTTGGTTGTTTATATATTTAATAAAAATGATAATAATTGGAGGTTCTTATATACCGCTTTATCACAACCTAGTTTGAAGGTCGTCTCAAAGCGGTTCACAAATTATTAGGGCCCCGTATTGGAGATACGGGTGCCCTATAGTAATCACTCTGTCTGTTTGTCTGTCCGTCCACAAATTCTGTTCCTGGCGGATAACTTTGGTATTTATTGACTGATGTACATGAACCTTGGTCAAGATGTTCAGTTCACAAAAATACACTTTGAGGTAAAAGGTCAAGGTTAAAGGTCAATGTCATTATGTTCAAATTTCAAGGTCAAATTTTTACATCTTTTCACTGATGAGCATTTTGTTATGACATTATGAAGCAAAGTTGTTCCGAATTAAACAAAGAGACACACTGAGGTAAAAAGCAAGGTCAAATGTCAAGGTTATTAGATTCAAAGGTCAATGTCAAATTTACATATTTTGACTGATGATCATTTTATTATGACATAATGAAGCAAAGTTGATCAGAATTAAACAAGGAGTAAACTGACCAAAGGTCAAGGTCATTGGGTCAAAGGTCAAGATTAAATTTTGTACCTTTTCCCTGATGAACATTTTGTTATGACATTATGAAGCAATGTTGTTCAGAACTTAACACAGAGTCAACTAACCTTAGGTCCAGGTTATGGGGTCCAAAGGGTAAAGGTCAAGTTTTGTATTTTTCACTGATGAACATTTTGTTATGACATAAAGAAGCAAAGTTGGTCGGAATTAAAGAATAAGTCGACTGACCAAAGTTCAGGGTCACTGGGTTAATGGTCAAGGTCATTTGGGTCCAAAGGTCAAAACAAAGTGGATCTCTTACTTTGATCCTGGCTCTTGATGGAGGAGGTATATAAGGTGAAATAAAACAAATCAAAGTTAACAAATGAGTATTGCACCGGTATATACATTTCTGTTAGCCTGCAAATATGGAGGTGGAAGGAAACAAGACTCACATCATAGTACATGTAAAGTGTATATTTTACTTCCTTGCGATTCTTTTTGAAGTCCAAATGTCAAACATCAAGCTCACCTATATGGGCAGTTTCCACCATGATGATTATGGGGAATATATTGCCACAAGACGGGGCCCTTACTGACCTGTCAGTGTTCTAGTTATCCGTGGTTATAGGGCCTTTGCAACCAGCCAACATCTTTCTCAACTCCCCGGGGAGCATACAGCCCCTGCTGCCATTTCGGCGCTCAGAGCTAGCATTCTACAATTCTAGCACTGCCAAACCACGTACTCATTTACAGCTGAGTAGACTGGAACAAGAGGAGTAAAGTATCTTGCTCAAATATACAACACATTGCCGTGACACGAGTCAAACTTGCAACCCTTCAGTCACAAGCTCGGGGTCCTACCACTAGACTACCATGCCTCCTGAGGGTTCCCATGTAATAGCAAGGGGTACGAAATCCTTTTGCCAAATATTGCATATCACATTGCTGATTTTTTATTTCACATTTTTAAGTATTAAATTTTTATCATATTAATTGATTATTATACCTTACAGTAGGTCATTATATCACTTTCAATATTGAAGCTAATGAAAATTTAGCAAATTCACTGCATCTAACAAATATTCAGATTGACTGATTAAATTTACACTGGTGTCTCCTGATGAACTAAAAGGAACTTGATATCGTGATCTCGAAGTATAAATGATTACTATTTGTGGCAGATTTTAACTGTACATAGGATAATGGTCACCTAGTTTCAGGCTAGAGAGAATTTCCCTTTAGCTTAGTGCACATGGTAGAACGTCCGACTAGGAAGTCTGGGATCACGGATTTGAAACCCGGTGGAAGCACACTACTCTCTTTCCTGTTACAAATGGTGTCTGTGGCCCTCCCTGTGGTGACAGGGAGTTAGAAAACTGGGTTGTTGTGGTGTTTGAGAGCGAACACATTTAAAAATGTGAGTATAAGTGTGGCAGACTTCAATTTACAAAGGATTACCGTAGCCCTCTATCTTTGCAATAGAAATAATCTCCCTTTGGCTCAGTGGTAGAGCCTCTGACTGGAAAGTCTGGGATCTCCCTTTAGCTCAGTGGTAGAGCCTCTGACTGGGAAGTCTGGGATCTCCCTTTAGCTCAGTGGTGGAGTGTCTGACTGGGAAGTCTGGGATCTCCCTTTTGCTCACTGGTAGCTCAGTGGTAGCTCAGTGGTAGAGCGTCTGACTAGGAAGTCCAGAATCTCCCTTTAGCTCAGTGGTAGTGCGTCTGACTGGGAAGTCTGGGATCTCCCTTTAGCTCAGTGGTAGAGCGTCTGACTAGGAAGTCTGGGATCTCCCTTTAGCTCAGTGGTACAGCGTCTGACTAGGAAGTCTGGGATCTCTCTTTAGCTCAGTGGTAGAGCGTCTGACTGGGAAGTCTGGGATCTCACTTTAGCTCAGTGGTAGAGCGTCTGACTGGGAAGTCTGGGATGTCCCTTTAGCTCAGTGGTAGAGCGTCTGACTGGGAAGTCTGGGATCTCCCTTTAGCTCAGTGGTAGCTCAATGGTAGAGCGACTGACTAGGAAGTCTGGGATCTCCCTTTAGCTCAGTGGTAGAGCGTCTGACTGGGAAGTCTGGGATCTCCGGTATGATCCACAGTGGAAGCACACCATTATCTTTCCTGTTATACATTAAAAGAGGACAAACTTTCACTGTACTCATTGCAGAAGGGAAATAACTCTGTCTTCTCAAGACCAACATTTGTAAATAAAAAAACTTATCAATACTTGATTGATGAAAGCAGTTTTATTTCCTTCATGGAAAAAGGCAAGTAATCAACAGTTTAATATATATCTATTTTTTGGGTATATTCAATTTTCTAACAGAAAATGTTCTGTCGTGTCATATTCAAACAAAATTAATTTTTGACATCATAGTTTTAAATGTTACATACTATACATCAAATTGTATAAGATATTTTCATAATATTATGGTGTTTATTAACTCATTCACCTCTGACATTTAATAATGATCTATACCAACCTTTGAATTGGAAGCGTTCAAATGTATCTTCAGAGGCCTAGGGTGAATGAGTTAATTTGATATTACAACAAGAAGCACTGTGAAAGCAGATAAAGACAAGGGCACTTTCCACACATTTTCCAATTAATGTACCAGTGAAAACAATTGTAAAAGATAGGTACAATATTAATGAGAAAATAAATAATTTGCTCTTGGTATGAGCTAACATTGTAAAGCTAATGAGTTTTGCCTGTCAGGCACAGTTTACTTAAACAGTTAATTTGTTCAACTCAAACAGAGTGTATACATCTTTAGTTCTTAAACCATGGTTACTTATATATGTTTTCATTAATAACTGAAGTGCTTCTGCTAAAAATCATTATGAATTCAGATACAGTATGCTGATTAAGTTAAATATAGATTATCTCTAGCTGGATCAGTAACTAGTGACTAGATGGTTCACCACTGTGACATACCTCTAGCTGGATCAGTAACTAGTGACTAGATGGTTCACTACTGTGACATACCTCTAGCTGGATCAGTAACTAGTGACTAGATGGTTCACCACTGTGGCATACCTCTAGCTGGATCAGTAACTAGTGACTAGATGGTTCACTACTGTGACATACCTCTAGTTGAGTCAGTAGCAAGTGCCTAGATGGTTCACCACTGTGACATACCTGTAGTCGAGTCAGTAACAAGTGACTAGATGGTTCACCACTGTGACATACCTCTAGTCGAGTCAGTGACAAGTGACTAGATGGTTCACCACTGTGTCATACCTCTAGACTCGTCAGTAACTAGTGACAAGATGGTTCACCACTGTGACATTTCTCTAGTCCAGTCCGTAACAAGTGACTAGATGGTTCACCACTGTGACATACCTCTAGTTGAGTCAGTAACAAGTGACTAGATGGTTCACCACTGTGACATACCTTTAGTTGAGCAAGTAACAAGTGACTAGATGGTTCACCACTATGACATACCTTTAGTTGTGTCAGTAACAAGTGACTACATGGTTCACCACTGTGACATACCTCTAGTTGAGTCCGTAACAAGTGACTAGATGGTTCACCACTGTGACATACCTTTAGTTGTGTCAGTAACAAGTGACTACATGGTTCACCATTGTGACATTCCTCTCGTCCAGTCAGTAACAAGTGACTAGATGGTTCACCACTGTGACATACCTCTGGATGAGTTAGTAACAAGTGACTAGATGGTTCACCACTGTGACATACCTCTGGATGAGTTAGTAACAAGTGACTAGATGGTTCACCACTGTGACATACCTCTAGACTCGTCAGTAACTAGTATCTAGATGGTTCACAACTGTGACATTCCTCTAGTCCAGTCAGTAACAAGTGACTAGATGGTTCACCACTGTGACATACCTCTAGTTGAGTCCGTAACAAGTGACTAGATGGATCACCACTGTGACATACCTCTAGTTGAGTCCGTAACAAGTGACTAGATGGTTCACCCCTGTGACATACCTGTAGTCGAATAAGTAACAAGTGACTAGATGGTTCACCCCTGTGACATACCTGTAGTCGAATCAGTAACAAGTTACTAGATGGTTCACCACTGTGACATACCTCTAGTTGAGTCAGTAACAAATGACTAAATGGTTCATCACTGTTACATGTTTTTGTAACTGATCTGTATATATGGTGAGGAATGTTTATCTTTTACCACTTGTAAGGCACAGTACACGTGTTCTATATTATGTATATAATATAAATTATAAAGGTCCTAGTACACCTTAAAACAGGTGTTGGACACTCTAATGGTAGTGCGATGTGTATATACTATATAATATATAGTGTGTCCAGCACCTGTGCATTAAAAGTTATTAAATTAAGATTGGAATTAAAACAGTACCATAAGCAATAGATGTATAAGAATATCTAGAGAGATCATTATAAAATATTAAGATATGTGAACTAATTTGTTCATTTGAAGCATTTCATATTACAAAATTCAAGCTTTGTTCTGTTTTGCAAATATTTCAAAAATTTAATAGGTGATTTCAGGGTATTTTTAGGTCACCTGAGCTTTGCTCAAGTGACCTATTCTAACTGCTTTCCGTCCGTCGTCGTGCGTAAACTTTTTACATTTTCAACTTCTTCTAAAGAACCTGTGGATGGATATTTTTCAAACTTCGTCAGAATCATCCTTGGTAGATTAGGCTAGAAAAGTGTAAAACTGGGATTCCTACCCCAACCCCTGGGGCAAGGGTGGGGCCCCAAAGGGAAAATTAACCAATATTTCAAAAATCTTTTTCTCCAGACTCAGAGGTACTACATTCAATTTAAGTGCATAAAAAGAAAGATCATCAGGGGCTTTATTTAAATTGTTAATTTCAGGACCCCCGAGCTATCCGTTCTTCCTTGGGGAGGGTGTAAAGTTTACTACAGTTTATATAGAGATATAACACTTTTGGGTATATTTTATCCATTTTCAGCAGAAAATTACTCAAACTTAGTCAGAATCTTCTTTGGTGAATGAGGGTATTACATTGTATTATTAAGATTCCTGCCCCATCCCCAGGGGCTAGGGCGGGCCCCAAAGGGAACATTTACCAATATTTTTTTAAAATTATTATCCTTTTATTTGATGACATGACAAGTATTGTATATACTTAGTTTACATGCTGATTTCCACATCACATCTAAACAATAAAATAAAGCTACCAGTACCTATGATATAACTCATCTGACCGCTAAGGCCCTTGTGCCTCTTGTATAAATAACTCACTCGATATTTGAATAATTGTATGAGTATACCCTTCAACATTCATCCTTTGATGTAGCCATCATCTGAATTCAATGAATTAGTGAAATGACGGTATGGTAACATAGTATAAACATTTTGGGTACCCTTACCTAATTAGCGTTACTAGGAATTCCTACATGTCTTTCATAATCTCAGTGAAATTCCCATTTTCTGGGTACATGGTATATTGTCAGGTAAAATATCATATTGTGAGGAATGATTTATACGAAATCAAATCAAAATGTATTATGAATGTGGCACTAGCATCACATAATGTTTAACCCTTTCACCACTGTAGACCATAATGGACTCATCCATATCAATGCATGGTAGAGGCTACTAAAGTTGCATATGGGGTGAAAGGGTTAAAGATAGATTTTCATAGATGTATTCCAACCAAAGCACATCATTCTATGTATGTGAATTAAATGCATGACAGTTGTTTGAAATTTGAGTATATAAATTAGACACAAAAATGAATATAAATAAACAAACAAAAATAAAAATTTCCAATTTGAGTATATAAATTAGACACAAAAATGAATATAAATAAACAAACAAAAATAAAATTTCCAGAGGTCTCACTTATGTCTTCAATTCCTTCACTGTAGACATGCACAGTATCAATATGAAAGATAAATACTGGGAATTTTTTCACTGCAGTTTAATTTTACGCCTTTTTTCATATTTCTCATTACAGCAAACATTAGTACACAACATTATATACATAGCCATCAAATGAGAAAGGCGAATTTAAAATTGAGCGAAAACAGATTAAACTGTTGAAAGGAAAAAATTTGAATGGCCAAAATGTCCAGTAGATACCTCGTCAAGGGAAGGAACTCTAAGCTAGTACAATCAAAAGATGAGCTCTGAAATGGAACTCTTCCCACTTCTTCCTTATAACCCGTTACATTTATGTGCCTGACATTTAATGTATAGCACTATTTCTTTAGCCAGAATAAGTAGGTATAAAATTTAAAATCAATAAATACAATAAAAATAATAAGTGGATTTCACAGCAGCTGCCTTATCAGGTGCTTCCAACATGTATAGTGTGTGCTGGAGGGTTTTCTGCTTTGTGGTAGGACTCATCCTCAATACTCAAGGGGTTACGCTCACTTTCGGTCTCTGCACCACTGTCATAGCAAAACCAAAGGCTCAGTGTGCGCCACCTATGGATGAGATGGGAAGACTAGTTGTATCCGTTGATGTACATTAAAAGAACCTGTTGGTCGCATAATGGTAATATTGATTGGCTTTGAAGTCAGGTGATGCTCCTCTGTATTCTTCAAAGGATTTGGGTGTCAGCCTAGCATTCGGTCAGGTTATTTTTTTACCCGAGACCAATCATAATGCCGCCAGGTTCACTATGACATATAATATTCCAGGGGTGAGGAGAGTAAAAGTGAGCGTAATCCCTGGCAGATCGAGGATAGGTAGGATTGTGTTTCCAAAAACATTATTTTCCCTTATAATTAGTGCCATCTCACTTGAACACGACAGCGCAGACACTGTTGCACCCACACAAGACCCTTTTAGACTCTGGGTTTATTGAAGACCTTTTTATACTCGGGGTCTATTGAGTTATTTGTGCAAGAGAAAAACACATTCTCTCTGACAATTTCGTACAACTACGACTTCAACCCGGGCCCGTATTCACGAAACCGTTCTCCTGCTCAAACATGGATTTTGTGCTCAAACCAACTTTCTAGTAGCTCACTTAGATCATGTTAAACGATCAAATAGTCAAATAAAAACATTGAAAACAGTCTTCATTTTTTTTTCAAATCAATGACAAAATAAGATTTTATTATCAAGTTATAACCGCAATTTTTTTTTTAGACTTGAGCACAAAATCCATGCTCGAGCGTGAGAACGGTTTCATGATTACAGGTCCTGATATACGGTGAATGAAAGTTCAAAAATGTTTTCAGACATATATTATTTCATTCACCAACACTTGGATAACTTAACAATTTTAGTATTTATATACGCAAACATGCATTCATAAAATGAGATCTTGTCAAACTCCTGTTCTGGTTTATAAACGTGTCTGAATTCTACAGGACTCAGCGAAGACAGCTGGTTAACACTGAACAATCAGTATCTGATACGGTTATGTAATATATCATGGTTATTTCAGCACCATGTCATCAATTATTCTAAAAACTTAACATACATACATGTACCCAAACATGAGTCGAATGACATACATACATATAAAATATAGAATATATATACACTTTATTTATTTTACAACAATTATGAAACAAGCTATTTCAACTAATATCAATCGCTCGTGTTGCCCTGGATGTTAGCACACAGGGGCTAGGGTCTTAGTCCATAGTCATAAAATAGAGAGCCACATTCCCTACCGATAGATTGTACTAAGTTTCACTGAAATCTATGCAGTATGTTACGTTAGGAATAGGCAAGACATAGTTTGTTCTGATGAAAAGGGGCATAACTCTACAAGAAAGAGATGAAATGATAAAAGTAACGTTGTTATCAACTGCTATGCACCCGTACTTCAAGTCGCCTTATTTTATGCGGAACTCTGAATTTTTCCGTATTTAAAAAAAAAAAAATGTTGGAGAAATAAGGAGAACATTTTTTAATGTGGGGAAAATATATATAGAGCAGATGTGGCAAAGCTGACTTTGAAAATATTTGAACAAAATCAGAACCAGATTCTCTTCTTTTGTATTTCTCCATATTTCATTTCTCTATAATTTGTTATTTTTTTTTCTGTATATTTTCCTTTTTTNCCCCCCAATTTTTTTTTTACAGTAAATGTGAAAACCAGTGTCAAAATACTACCGTCTGTATTTTTTTCAAATTTTCTACGAAGAAAATATGGAAATCTGAGGTAGGGGCCATGCAGGCATACATTGCAATCTATACAGTACTGTCTGGAACAGTAATCTACAAACAGATGGATATACCCCGATTCCTAAAAATCCCCTCCATCTAACTTTGTTATGAAGATATAATAATAAGATGACCGCAAGAGAAGCTGGAAAGCTTCTTTTAGAAATAAAAATAAAAATAAACTTAACTTCATTTGGGGTAAAAACTTAACCAAGCTTTAACTCATTCACCCCTGATACTTCATAATGGACTATTCCAACCTTCGAATTGGAAAAGTTCAAAGGCGTCTTCAGGGGTAATAAGTGAGTTAATTAGAATACATTTATTAAATGTCAAAATTGGATCAATTAAAGCAGAGAACATCACGGTGTTGTACTATCAACAGCAACAGTTACATCTGTTTGTACTATTTTTGATTTCGAAATCCGCAATAAAAACCACACAACTAAAGGAAGAGCCATTAAGGTTACAATATACAACGATTGTGACAGTACAGGAGTGCTACCAAAGGGAGGTAACCACAGACCACGCCTTGCCGCGTCCCGTATATGATGTGAAAGCCAGGCTACAATGAACAGAGGACACAGTAGCCCAAAGAAACTGTCCCTGTAAACATCGCCCAGCGTCCACAGGATCACCGCAATCGGGATGATGATGGTCGTTGCATGGAAGTGTGGCCTGCTGGGTAATGAGGTAAGATCCTGTAATATTAGAATTAAAAGAAATAAAAATAAGTTTTTATTATTAAACATATATATATGCAAAGGAGTAATCAAAGCATTTTACTGTTTTTAATTACATACAGAACTGTATACTAACACAGGACATAGTGTCACCCTTGTAAAATACTAGCCACCCTCTACCGACAAATGGTTTAAGAAGAATTCCTCTACATCCAACTTCTGACACCCTTTTTTTCATTAACCAACTTGAGATGTGGTTACACCATATGAACATTGTATAATTGAATAATGTATATTTACATTTTGAGTCTGGTGTAGAGGAAAATAGCCGACTGTGATCCTGTACCAGATATAACGCGTATAAACTTAACTTAACTCATTTGGTAGGGTATGAGACTAGTAAGCAGAACACTAACTATAGAGATCTCGGGTTCAATCCTTATTAGAGACATTGACTCATTCACCCCTGAAGACACATTTGAACCCTTCCAGTTCAAAGGTTGGAACAGTTCATTATGAAATGTCAGGGGTGAATGTGTTAATAATGATAATGTCTTCTGTTATGTATACATTGACTGCAGTGCTCTCTTAGGGTAGCTCAGCTACAAAACTGTATATAGACTTACAGTCAAACCTGCTCAAGTGACCACAGGCATTAACTGACCAGCTGTGTTAAAATAAGATCCCAGTTTTAATGTGTGACATTGTAAGGATTTGAGAATTGAACCAGTATTAATTATATAAGAGACCACCTGCAATTAGAGACAATTTTTCGAAATTTCAAAGGGCAGTCTCTAAATGCAGGTTTGGCTGTAGAAATTACATGGAACACTGATTGACAATTGCCTTTCCAAGAATTTACATACAAAAACTCTACACTTACGTGGAATACAGATAACTGTATATATACATGCACACTTGCCAACCAACTCTCCCTATTTTGGAGGGAGACCCCCAATTTTGGACTTTAAAATGGAACATTTTCAATCAGTGAATTTGCTCAACTATTCCTGTATTTGATAGTCTATTGATTTCATTTGAAAGAACAATTCCGAAGATGTCATTTCAAAGTGTTATTTTTTTCTCTATGGGTATATAAACACATTTTATTATGTTTTTAATGTTGAGCTGGTGGAATCTCCCCCATGGAAATTATAAAAAGTTGGCAAGTATTTACATGGTTTGTACTTACGTGAAGGTTTATTGATCGTGCTGCAATAACGTGATCCACGTCCACCAGCATGGCCAGTCCCATACAAATTATACACTGGACGAAGCCCTTGACCCATTGGTCAGAGGTCGGAGGTCGGAGGTCAATCACAATAGCCCAGGAGAAAAACCCCACAAGTCCATGTGTCAAACTGTCTGTGAAGATTCTAAAATGGAGGTTTTCATACTCTCTTGCCAACAGGAAATCTCCGACACTGAGAACAGCGTACAGAAGGAACTCATACAGGATGGTGTTCACATCAATGAAAGTTGAAAATGATGACAGACTTGGCATTTTGTAATATTGGCGTATCAGCAACTCATTTCTTGTAAATCCATGTTGATTCTTGTCAAATCCATTTGACAATCCAGAAAATCCTACATGAGAGTGTCAAAATGCAGATCTGTTAATTCTCCATCTTCTGTCAGGAAATGATGCAATCAACACGGGCTGATAATTGAAGTCAAACCTTGACGTTACTCTTTCCCTAAAATGGCAATAAGAAAGTATTTTGATCATAAAGTTTACCTAAGGGATGTTGTATATATATCACTATCAAATTTTGCGAAGATCTGTTATATAGGGTTTTTACGAAGGGCAAATGAAGTTTTGCAATGGGACAGCAAATCCAATTTGGTCTCTTCAATGTCTGACAATCTCAGTATAGGACTTAGGAGAAAACATGTTATGTAGGGGGCCCACACATCATATTAGAGGCCTCTTGGCTAGGATACAGCATGTCTAATATTGGTTACTTTAAAAGTCCTTTAAACAGAAGATACAGAAGACCCAACACTTGTTTTTTTCTGCTGCGGGGGCCCTCATTGGTCACCTCTTATGGTCATGCATGCACTGGGATACATCAGGCATCTTTCCCCAATTCTACTCAGGTTATAGAGCATACAAACAGTACTTATAGAGCAGTCTCCATAATATTATGAGAGTCTTTAATGTCATTTATTGTGATGAATTGTAAGTTCCTTTCATGGAATATTGGACAGGTTTACTCGACTGGGTTGACTGGTGGCCACCAGGTACTCAATTGGTAGAGCGTCCGTCTAGAGTTCGGAGGGTCCCGGGTTACTTATACACCAAAAAAGATCCCTCTAGAACTTCCCGAGAAATAGCGATAACAAGAATTGTTTAAGGACAGACAACGGACAGACAGAAGGGTGATTTGAATAGCCCACCATCAGATGATGGTCGGCTAAAAAATTAGTATAAGGTGTATATTCTTTTATACACAAATCGATAATACGTCGCACTCCTGTGCAGTAAGGCAGTGTTTTCCCCTCAAATTCCTTAGCTGTTACAATAGTTATAATGGCAAACATGCTGTAGGTCAATCGTTATATCAGTAACTTCCCTTCCTCTTCTGAACTCACCCGTCACATCATTTAGCAACCACAGGGCCCTGATAGTTTGTTACAGCTATATTCACCTATAAATTAAAGCTGTATTGAGCTATAATTTCTCAGATTTCAATTTTCATTTAATAACAGCAAAGTCACATAAAACAAAAAGGTTTATGGTAATGTCGACTACAAAAATATACATTTAGATGTTTATTTTCATTTTTCATAAATGTAAAATTGCTTAATTTTTTACATCATTATTTTTTAAAAAGAATACTTATATTTAATGTCTTTTGTTATCAACTAATGATAAAATCTTCTTTTAAATGCGACTTTGTTTCGTTTTTCTTCAAAAAGAAAATCACATGAAAATAGCTCAAAAAAATAGAGCTATTATTTTATATAGGTCATTACAGCTATATATAATATAGCTCAATCGGCGTACTGGACCTGCTAAACTAAGGTGTTCACAGTTAAACTAGTTTACATATTTCACTGGTTTTTATCGATTTTCGGTAAAAATGACACCCAATTTTTAGTATAGATCATAAGGGTGTCAATTTTTTGGTCTTAGTTTAGGTCCAAATATATATAGCGGTAGGTCCCTGTGATAGCAACATGAACATAAACATGAGAAACGAACCTCTGAAAAGTCTGGAACAGATAAGACAAACTAGGGCCTCATGTAAGTACAACATGGTTGCCTATTGAAGTCAGCAAATTTGTCGTGTCTGAATTAGAAGTCAATAACTGTATCGGTTATTAACACATATTTACCAAATATAAAGTACACGTAAACATTCATAACATCATCCATGTGTGTTAATGTATACCGGATGTAGCGCATGTCGAACGCGCCTATACACCTTGGGGTGCTACTAATGATCAGAATGCAACTAGACTGACAGGAAAACATAAGGTTTATAACATTTATAATCGATTATAATTTGGTTTTGTAGTATTATCACGCAAAGGTAATATATTAAAATTATACTTTCAATACAGCTATATTGAAAGCCAGAATAAAGTGACAATGATATTTTTTTTTTTATATATTAATAATTTCTTAACTTAGTTGACTTGAATTCATCTGAATAAGTCTGACACATATTATATTATATATTAATTAAGTATATGTAACAGAGGTAGTTATTTTTTCAACGCCTCCGCTAGGATTCGAACCCAGGACCTTTGGCTTACTAATCTTAATTCTTCTAAGTAGCCGAGTCGGTAGGAAGCGCTGCATTTTACCAGTGTGATATAATATTTCAATGCTATGCGTGCTTACTCAATTCTCTTCGTGCTGAAGGTATAGTTCAATCCTAAAAGATCTAGCTGGAGCAGTTTATGTAATACACTTTGAGTCGTATAGACAGCAAGCGTTTTGTATACGTTTGTAATATTTCCTATGAATAAGATGGAGTCATAGCTTGACAAAGGGACCGGTCGGTCTTGAAACGTAGCGACACGTTTAATACGTACATTGTTTTTTGTAGAAAGTAAAACTTTTATATCATTTCCTATGAATATTTCTTGATCCAAGACAGAATTCCGTAGCGAATTCTAGACTCGCACCCACAACAGTACGTATTGCATGATGAATCATCACATGACCCTGTAAATCGTCTTCATTGATACCATGGCAACTGAACATGAACGATTGTCGATCTACCGGTAAGTTTCACGGTAATTTTTTTCGGACATCTGGCGGTTTACAATTGTACTTGAATTTCCATGTCAAAGTAAACGCAACTGCACAACAACAGACATGTTAGCCCGAGTTTTATGTGGCCCTAACACCAGACTTCCCCTACCAGACATGTTAGCCCGAGTTTTATGTGGCCCTAACCCCAGACTTCCCACACCAGACATGTTAGCCCGAGTTTTATGTGGCCCTTACACCAGACTTCCCGCACCAGACATGTTAGCCCGAGTTTTATGTGGCCCTAACATCAGACTTCCGACACCAGACATGTTAGACCGAGTTTTATGTGGCCCTAACACCAGACTTCCGACACCAGAAATCTATAGATATGTCAAAATGTTTAAGTCTGGTGTTAGGGCCAGAGGAAACTCGGGCTACAGACATGTCAGACAATGTTTATTCTGACCGCGAACAATACCATGGCAACTGAACATGAACGATTGTCGATCTACCGGTAAGTTTCACGGTAATTTTTTTCGGACATCTGGCGGTTTACAATTGTACTTGAATTTCCATGTCAAAGTAAACGCAACTGCACAACAACAGACATGTTAGCCCGAGTTTTATGTGGCCCTAACCCCAGACTTCCCACACCAGACATGTTAGCCCGAGTCTTATGTGGCCCTAACACCAGACTTCCGACACCAGACATGTTAGTCCGAGTTTTATGTGGCCCTTACACCAGACTTCCCCCACCAGACATGTTAGCCCGAGTTTTATGTGGCCCTTACACCAGACTTCCCACACCAGACATGTTAGCCCGAGTGTTATGTGGCCCTAACACCAGACTTCCCACACCATACATGTTAGCCCGAGTTTTATGTGGCCCTAACATCAGACTTCCGACACCAGACATGTTAGACCGAGTTTTATGTGGCCCTAACACCAGACTTCCGACACCAGAAATCTATAGAAATGTCAAAATGTTTAAGTCTGGTGTTAGGGCCAGAGGAAACTCGGGCTACAGACATGTCAGACAATGTTTATTCTGACCGCGAACAATACCATGGCAACTGAACATGAACGATTGTCGATCTACCGGTAAGTTTCACGGTAATTTTTTTCGGACATCTGGCGGTTTACAATTGTACTTGAATTTCCATGTCAAAGTAAACGCAACTGCACAACAACAGACATGTTAGCCCGCGTTTTATGTGGCCCTAACACCAGACTTCCCCCACCAGACATGTTAGCCCGAGTTTTATGTGGCCCTAACACCGGACTTCCCACACCAGACATGTTAGCCCGAGTTGTATGTGGCCTTAACACCAGACTTCCCACACCAGACATGTTAGCTCGAGTTTTATGTGGCCCTAACACCAGACTTCCAACACCAGACATGTTAGCCCGAGTTTTATGTGGCCCTAACCCCAGACTTCCCACACCAGACATGTTAGCCCGAGTCTTATGTGGCCCTAACACCAGACTTCCGACACCAGACATGTTAGTCCGAGTTTTATGTGGCCCTTACACCAGACTTCCCACACCAGACATGTTAGCCCGAGTGTTATGTGGCCCTAACACCAGACTTCCCACACCATACATGTTAGCCCGAGTTTTATGTGGCCCTAACACCTGACTTCCCACACCAGACATGTTAGCCCGAGGTTTATGTGGCCCTAACACCAGACTTCCCACACCAGACGTGTTAGCCCGAGTTTTATGTGGCCCTAACACCAGACTTCCGACACCAGAAATCTATAGATATGTCAAAATGTTTAAGTCTGGTGTTAGGGCCAGAGGAAACTCGGGCTACAGACATGTCAGACAATGTTTATTCTGACCGCGAACAATATAACTAATGTGAAATGGCTAGAACGCAGTACAATTGCAATGCTATATCTTTGGTATGTAATGCACTTAATGAAATATCTCTAGTGGAATGTTAAAATACTGTAGATGCCATGTTTGTTTGTTATTGAACGAAATCCCGTTAATCTATCTTAGAAGCGTGTTTATTAAATGTTGAGAATGATGAAAAGTGTTGTATATTTATGCTTTATTTTCCTCATAACGCTTTAATATAGGCTAACACATAACTCAATGGAAGACGAATCTTTATAACGGAGGGGAAATAAATAAATAAATAAATAAAGGAGCAGAAGGTTGCAGATACAATACAGCGTGTCTAGAACACAAAATAAATGCGTATTTGTTAAGCTATAATAAAATAACTTATTACATTTTTTGCCAGTGAAATATCGGATTCTATCAACTTGATAAAATTGATATCTTTTACACTGTGATAAATATCAAAAGTGATATTTTCACAGTGTGAAAATATCACTTTTTAGTATTGACCAATCATAACGGTATCTTCTATTCGCTGCATTCAAAAGCAACGATATTTTGTCACAGATTCACATGAAGCGACGGTAAAATGAGTGGTTGTTATGGTAAATGTTTGGTACACAGATTTAAGTATATTTGTACCAGTAATGACATTTTTATAAGCAATCATACCAGAAAATAGCAGAAAACGTCGAAATTGCGTTGAGAATGCCACTCAAAATGACGCGCAGCCTTGTTGTCAAGCGTGCCGTCATTATAATATATCAAAATATTAGCCATACTCGTGAAATATATTTGTTATTACTGAAGACAACATTAAATATCCTCTATTTATTGTACTGGGACGTAAAGTCTGCGTTACAAGAAATCTAGAGATAGGTCTACAGGTAATCAAAATATCTGCTTATATTTTATTTTTTTATTTTCCACGATTACCAAAATTTATGAACACGTTTACATATTACATATAATCGTTTACTATCAACATTCTATACATTGAAATCATTCAATCTTCCCCAAAAACTTACAAAAGTAGTTCTACCAGGACCTGTCTGAAATTCCCAAAGACATTTATAAATGCTTTTAACTACTTTCGTCGTGTGTAGTTTCAACCATTAATTCAAATAATGAAACCAATTTCGTTTAATGTTTTCAAAACAAAAAGATTTATTTGGTTTATGTACATCCGTAGTAGAGATCGTATTGTCGCTTCAATACCGTTGATAACATCGATCTTGAATGTGAGTACGGGCACTTAATAGGCGACGTGGGTGGTCGATAGTCGTACTGCCTTTTTGGGTGATGTTTCCCGTCAGATCTTGCCAACATATCAGAAAACATTCGTCGATAGTTGCACACACACCGGCCCTGGCTATATGCACAGGACGGCCCACAAAATCCACTATCCACTATGTAAGACAACGAAAAAGATATCTAATATGAATGTGCACAACCAAACGCAATTGTGAGTAATGGGTTTACTGTTCTTGTATTATGATCGTGAGGTCTTAGAAATTGTGACGTCATAATGATAACTGTGGAAATAGCTAGCGATTAATTGTTCCATTTACTTGAAATACATATTAAATTGTGAAAAATCAAACGAACATTTAGATAATGAATATCTTTGTAAAAATCATTAGGAATAAAACTATATTAGTTCATCCTTATTCGTCCAGGGGTTACACTCATTTACGTTCTCTGCGTGCGAGGTATATGTCCTGACAAAATTGAAGGCACAGAGCCAGCAATTTGATTCGTTTCATGTCTGACCAATCGCACGACTGGTGCCTTTAGGATGACCAATCGAAAAGCTGGTGCCTGGAGGAACGACACCATACTTCAAAACTGGTCAGTTTTACCATTCGGCTGCCGCGCGATTCTGTTGTGACATCACAAGATCAAACTAATATACATGTATCATCCGAAAGGTGGCGCGTATAGGGCCTTCGGTGTTGGCATTACATATTCCAAGGGGTACATAAAACGTAAGTGGGAGTATCTCCAGGAGCTCGAGGATGGCGTTGGTTATGACGACCTAACACATTTCAGTGTAGAATGAATCACCTCAGAGAGCAAAACATTGGTAGATTATTGAAACTTAACACAAAAGATAAAACTGGATACAAGGCACATTAACATGAAAAGTCATTCAGATTAACAGAGCCATCAAGTGTATCTATAATTTCATTATTAGACCCTCCATGCAGTATTTGTTTAACTGCTTTCCCACAAAAACATGCCATATAAATCATATCCCAATATCTCACAATGCCTTGCATGGAAATATATACTTGATTGAAATTTGAGAATTTCAACAAAAATA